CCCCCCCCCCCCCCCCCATCACTTTTCTAATGGTCCGTCCCTTATTTTAGAATGCCAATTGATCACATTCGCCTTGATTTCAAGCTATTGTTTCGGCAACCAAGCCGAAGTTCGGAAAATGTCTAGTGCAATAAAATATGAATTAAAAATTAACCTTACTAAGTTACATTAACATATAGGGCAAGGAGTAAGAGCCTACTAAAAACTATTCGGCGCTCAATTCCTACAGTAAAATATTTACATGATTTCTATAACATAAATCAGTTCAAAGTATAATAGTTCATAATAAATTAAATATGTACATAACCGGAATTTTTGAGAATTTAGAAAGCTTACAAGTGCATTAATTACGACTAGAAGTGCATATCGTCAACACAATGTATTATATTCCGTTAATTCTTTTCGATTTTAGTTTCGAAAATCCCCGAAAAAGGAATATTTCTTTGTAATTCTAATTGTTTTTGCACCAAAGATTCGTGGCCTTTAACTTGTTCCTGCATGTGCTGAGGCTATATATATAAGGACCAACTTTAATTTTTGCAATTTATAGTATTATTATAACTTACAGTGTTGCAGTTAAAGTCATGTATTATACCACTGTGAAAAACTGACTGTTATAGCTAGCTATATGTATTGTTATTTTGATTAAGGCAAGTAAACAAAGGCAGTTTTCAAAAGACTTTTACGACTTTCATTTGTTGACTCCAGTAACTGCTACTGTGAGGCTTATGACGAATTTTAATTTTTAAGATTCCTACATAGTAGCCTACATGGCTTAATATATTCATAATAATTCTTGATACTTTATAGTATTACAATATCACTGCCTAAAACTCGTTGCTATAAGAGGGTGTCTGTAAAAGCCGGAACCCCACCCGGAACACCCGGAACCCACCCGGAACCCCACCCGGAACACGCTGGAATACGAGCTATGAAGCAACGCACGTGTTTCTCTATAAATTCACGTGTTTCGCATTAAATTCGGGGTGATGGATGGTTACGATCTTTACTTTTTACTTGTATTGTTGTTTTTT